AATACATTAGTCTTAAGAATGAAAGTCACAAGCAACCTTGTATAGTTTTGAAGAGTTTTCCCCGGCAATCGCAATCGGTGCAGTTCCATGAAGTTCAATCTGGCCTCTTATGATATTGTCCGTTTCTGTCTAATTCAACAGAGTCAATGAGTCAGTGAGTACTGGGATTTCCAGATTTAAATATATGCTTTATGTCGCGTTCCCTTCTTCAAGGTTTCCTTGAAGTTCAAGAGCTAGAATTTTGGACGTGTCTCTGTCACCATCAACGTAGCACGTTTTTGTTGAAGCAGGTAATTTCGGAGTTCATCCTTGTCTTTGACATTTGCAGATGGGACTCTTCTTGGATAACCGTGAGCCAATGCGAAGAATGAGAGACAGGTTGCCACACATTGAATCGTCACTTGTCAAAGTCGGCAATGCACATGTTGATCAAGTCAAGATAGTTCAAGTATGTGAAGATATTGAAGGGTGTCAGTTCGGGTGTCAGCAGTCTTCAGGCAACTTGCCCGTGGATCTGGCGAGAGAGGAGTGCCAGAAGGAAATCGTGAACTTGATGATGGACAAAGCCTCTTGGCTGCACGAGTGGGCCTCAAGCACTGCAGTGGCCCCAGGATGTCAACCTGTATAACATGATGAAACTTCTGGCACTTGGGATGAAAACGTGAAAGGGACGTGGCGTGAGATAGTGCAAGTCCGGACTGGGGGATGTTTACGAAACCAATTTTGGACAATGAAGCTGCCAAATAAGTTATTGTCGCAATCCACTTGCCCACAAGGGTGAGCATAGATTGAGCAGGAATCTGATTGAATTCGCAGACTTGATTTGGTACTCATGCATGGGATTCTCTGTGTTAACCCCACCCTTTCCAGTGCCATGGTCTTCGGAGACAACATCAAGAATATAGGTTGGATGTTCTTATGATTGTCTCCAGCTACACATGGCCTAAAGGATGTGACATGTCACAGATGGGTATGCCTCACCACAGAGTTGGTCATGTGTTCGTTCAGAATGAGCTTATAATTACTTCTCAACATCTCCGTATTTCAGGTCGCTCCAACCCTCCAAGGGTTTTGAAGTGCAAATGTTCTGCGCACCTTGTGGCCGCCCAAGGCATGAACCGGAAGGCCTGGCACATGGAGTGGCTGAGCGATGTTTGCGAAACCGCTTGATGTTTCTTGCTTTGGTGTTTCATGTGAGCCGCTGTCAATATTCTTGGCATAGTTTTTAGCCACGATCCATCAGTTTGGAGGAATGAAACATACATCTCTAGAAGATGCATTTAAGCCGAAATCATGGTATAATACTGAAATGATCTTGACAGCTACCAATGCTCATGCCCATGGGCATTTAGACGGCCCCGGCTCCGGCAAGAAATTTCAATAAAGTATTTTGCTGTATTGACATGTCAATGCTTCATTTTGGAGAGGCGCATAGTCTATAGTAAAATTTGATGAAAGTTGCAGTTCTACCCCTCAACCTGAACTCTTAGCAAGATCACGTACCATCTGTAGCAGCCTTCGACATCCTTTGAACATGATTTTGAGAAGGGGATCTTTGTCAGCTGCATTGACCCGCAGCTGCAATTAGCTCCCGAGTTGATTTAATCTTTGCTGATTGTATCCCCATTATTTGTTGCTTAAAGCCCCATTGAACAGCATCATTTCCTCGCGTTTGTTTGCCTTCCCATCAGGCAAAGTTCTCCTCGGCTTGACAAAGTGGTTCGCGCAAGCTTCCGACGGTGTCCAAAAGGGGATTCCGGGCCAAAGGTGCCCTTCAGGTGCATTGTGTGGTCAAAATTGCGCTGCCCAACTCCTTCAGGGTCACCAGTTATGGGTCAGAATTTCCCCTCAAAATTGGATGGTTTCAACATGTTTTAAGAACATTCAAGGAAAGATGTATCCCGAAACGACCAGAATCTGTGGTTCCATGGCGCCTCATGTAGAGGGGATCCCCATGGAGTTTCGCCATCTCAGTTTGGGACAAGGATTGAGCTCAGCAAGTGGCAGCGACCTCCTGCAGCCATCAAGGGTATAGCCGGTATAGCCGTGTAGACTTAAACTGCTGCCTTAACCTGCTTCCCGTCAGTAGTTCATTTGTCTTGATTACGTCCCAATGATGATATGATGGTTGTCTTTCATTTTAGTGTCATGGTGAGCAAACGATCGTGAAATGACCTGCAACGCAATAGCTTAGTTTCATGATGATCACAGCAACTCAGCCAGGACTTTCTCCACTGCAAATTGCATGAAGTATCAAGAAGTAAAAAGCACCCCACAATTTGCTGGATAGGTGATAATCCTTCAGTTGTAGTGATATTGCAGCTCCGAGAACTGTTGGGTGATGTCTCGTTTTCTGTTCTTTTCTTTTTTCTGTGGTGAAGCTTGATGTGGGGTCAAAGTGCCATGGATGATGTGCATCCAATGCGCGATCGATGTCACACCGTTCCATTTTCAGGTTCAAAGCGACATTGGGACCCATCAGCTCTTCACATGTTTGTGCCAAACCATGATCTTTCTCATTGATCTCATTACGTTTGAAATTGGACTTTGGTTCCCATTACCTCAAATTACCAATTTCAATTGAACCCGCGGTTGGGTTGGCTTGTTGCCCAAAGGGACCTCCAAGGCTTCAACATAGCATCCACTCTACCAACCTTTATTGAATTGAACATTTTACTACTACACTTTCACCATTCGGCGGGAAGTCCTGTTGCACAACACGTGCATACAGTGATGGCCTGCGATACGTTCGCAGGGTGTCCCAGATGCTGCGATGCCAACTAATTTTGATCCATATTCATACCACATTCATACCACTCTTGCTGGAAGGGTCGCATACATAGAGTTCTGTTTTTTTTCAAAGGCATTTCCAAAAATAATCGACAAACTTGTGAATTGTGAATTTGCGTGCCCGTCTGGACAATCAGTGCGGCAATTCTTCTCGAAAGTTGATGTATCAGCTTCATCTGTTGAATGGGTTCTGATTGAGACGAAGCAACACACTTGTCAACGTCAACAATATCTAAAATGGCGGTTCCCAATGGGTTCAATCCCAAAATATATGTTCAAATTTGGACGATTTGGGGTAACCCCTTTTTAGGAAACCTTTATATTAGCGGCACAAACTGGTCATCGAAGAGTGGTTTTGATCTCTCGTCACTGCTCAGCATGAATCTCTCTGACATGTGGGCCTGCTGGTCTTGACATGGAGAGGACCTACCAGATTTGGCGGAACTTCAGAAGGCAAATGACAATGTGCAGGCCTTTAGCTGTTGTGGTTGGATGCCTCTTTTTGAAACCACACTTCGGCCATCTTCCAGTATCCCATAGGCATCCAGAAATAACCTGCTTCTGTGCCACCGTTTCTTTTGAACATGAAATCCAGACCATAATGTCCGTGGTCTTCATGCCCTGGTAAGGCCCTATTGAAAACATTTTGTGATGCTCTTCGGAAGCAAAGACTTGAGCGCCAGAAAGTGCAGGTTCAACTGGTGACTGGAGATTTTGAGTGAAGGTGACCAAGCGGTTACAAAGCAAATTGCTTACCAAAACGAGTGTTGACAAAGGTCAGTTGAACATCGTTCTATCCTGGTCCCGTTTTCGTGGCTTTTCATGATTTCATGTGTTGAATTGTTGTTATTACAACAATTCTGCTGCCCTCTGTTGGGCGGAAATTGACGATTTGTGGGGGTCTGGTGGGCTTTTACGTGGTTCCATTTTTACCTTGTGCTGTATACTCAGAGAAACCCTAGCCCACCACAATAATTCCTTCCCGTACCGTTTTTCGAAGGACCAACTGAAAACTGTCGAACGCCAGCTTTCAGATGCAGGTCGCACGCAGGACCCAGCATTCAAGGGCATACCACAACATGGTTGCATTGCTGGACAGTGCAGCATCATTTTTTCAATGCAAAACGGTATGATGCAACAACAATTTCTTGGCCATGTCTAGGTTTTGCAATTTTTGCCTGACACTTCATTGAAAAGTGAGCAATGTACTTGTTTGTATCCGTCACGGCATCAGAGCAGGGTGGTTGTCAAGTGCATCTCCCCATCTCCTCCCCTTGCAGGATGAAATCACAAAAAAATATCTGGAAGACTTTGCAGCACATTCGCTAGCCTGCGCAAAAGCTGAAGTGCGGATACATGCTTGTATGCTCGTAAACCATGATCTAATCTAGTGTTCATGTGGAAGGTTCAGCAGGAGTTCATGGGATTCCAGAGATGTCATCAGTGAATATGGGACAAAGCGGCAACCATGGTACAGTAGATGGCAAGATCCGGCATGTTGCATACATGGACATGATGGACATGACATAGTAGCTGGCCAGTGTTGATTCAGTGATTTCATCCAGTTGGTGTATTTCATCCCTGCAGGAACAGGTTCGGGCAGTGCTTGACGACCTCAAAAAGGAGGCCGAATGAACTGGATCAAAGGACTGACAGCTGAACATGTTCTTTGCCATCCTGGCCCCTTCCTTTGGTCCTTTAGGTCTTGCTATGGCGGCTATGGGTCAGGTTTCTAGACCATGCTACCGCTAGGATGCGAGTCCTGTCCACAACACATATTCAACATGAATGCATCAAGAAGCAATCGGATCTATGCAAAACCGATGGTGTCCTGTTCGTATCTATACTTGGGATGCCAAGAAACTTCGACAGGGATCTTGGATATGTAGTATGACTTCCACGTTTTCGCTTCAGTTGGAATTCAGAAGTAGACGGTGCTGCAAATTTGTTTCCTAAAGATGGGGTTTGGGGTCATTGTCTCTTGGGCCCGTTGCCTGTCCATTTTATCCAAATTAAATATTGAGCTTCTTAATTGTGGTTTGGGTCTATCTTGCTTTTTATAGCTACAGATACGGACTTGCAGAGGGTGGGGCTGGCAGGTGGGCCGTTTTCAGAGGTTGTTTCATCAGTCGAAAGTCTTTCTATCATCCTATAACATGCGCTTGCTGTGAACATGTGTGAACCAGTCTTCGTGAATGCGATTTCCGACAAGGTGGCAACGTCATCCTCTATGAGCGCGGCACTTGCGGATTCTTCTTTCCGGATTCTTCTTTCCGACAAGACAATCAATGATTTGAGGCAAAGTACATGATTTACCTCCCACAGACATGGAATGTTCTCAATATTTTTGGGAGTTTTGCCATGCTCATGCCAAGGCCAAGACGCCACAGCTGAGGACAATGCTGTTGAGAAGAAGAACAGGTTGGGCCGCAAGCTCAAAGTTGAGATGAGGTCGAATAGCAAAGAAGCGAACAGCCGGATGGCCGGCAGAGTTGGTTGACGTCGATAGTGAGATATGCATGGGTTTTGACTTCTCCTTTTTTGCCAAGTTCAACCCTTATTAACCCTTGCTACTTGTTGTATACGTGTTCTTTCGTGCAGCAGTGCATCTTATAGTTTTATAGTGAAATGGAAAATTCATGTGAGATATACTTGGCTGGTAATATTATGCCACACTTTTATCGTTCCATTGCAACTGCACCAGTGTGCACATGCAACTTGCATGAACGTTCTTCACCCAGGCCGGACAGAGCTCCACAATGCTGTTTGCAAGGGCGACGAAAAGCGTGTCCAGCAGCTCCTGCAAAACCGCGCATCTGTTGATGCCAAGGATGAAAGCGGCCCGAACCTCTGGAGTGTATGCGTACATAAAGTTGCAAGCTGTTGTTTGTTGCAACTTCAAATTTAAAGCTTAGACAATCCATGACACTGTCGAGAGGTTTGAAAGAGGAGTGGAATGCAGTGAAATCATGGACGTGGAATGCAAATCAGTTTATCACCATTTCGTGTCAAGTCCAACCCGAGGCCGGACACCATTGCACTTGGCCGCCAGTGAGGTCTCCGGACCAACCAAAATCATTAAGCTGCTGCTAGAGGCGAGGGCCATGACTGAGGCCAAAGACCTGGGCGGCCGGGAGCCTCAGAGCTCTTCACATGGAGCATATGTTTTTGGTGAGTTTTTCAATGCATTTAGCTCTGACATGGACTTGATGTTCCATCTTAAAGGCCATATCTTTGATTGATCAAGTCGCACACTGCAAGGTGGTATACATAACATACAGTAGTGATCAGAAGTGTCTGCCCTCCTGTGTCTCCAAAATCATGAGGAGGTATAGGAAAATGAAGTGCCTGTAGGAAAGGTTTCAGACTGGCATGTGTGTGTGTTCTTGTGTCTGAGTGGTTTAATGACTGGATGGCGAAATGAATGGCTGGCTTGGCCACTTAAGGCTCGCATGGTTGAGTGACTGAATGACTGAATGATAGACTAAGTGTTCCTTTTTGAGCTAGCTCTTTTCTGAGCTATCTCTGTCCTCAACCATCCTTTCCTTGAACAATCCCTCTCATCAATTATTGACTGAGTGAAGGACGGAGTGAAGGACTGAGCGAGCCTCTTCTCTGAGCCACTTTTCTCTGAGCCGCATCTTCAAGGATCCAGCTCTCGGCTGCCTCGTTTCGAAGCTGCTTCTTCTCTGAGCCAACTGTTCTTTGAGCCACTCCACTTCCGTAATCTGAGCTACTGCCTCCCAAGCTATTTTTTTGAGCTGTCTTTCCTAAGCTATTTCTTGCCTGGCCTAACTCTTCTCTGAGCTACTATGTAGAAAAGCTGTCAGCTTTTAACATCGCGTTTAGCATGCAGCCATTAAATTCGGCTAAAAGTAGGGCGCAGGCAGCAGTTCCCAAGGTGTTTTGCAACCCTAAAATGCATTCCACATTTGCTGGCCTGCAGAGTTGCTGAACGAAGTGTACCGGGTGTGTGAAGCATGCACTACGAACTTGCGACGCGGCTCAGAGAAGATGGGGCTCAGCAGACTTGGTAAAGAGAAGATATATGTAAGGTAGAGACAACTCAAAGATTGAGGTGCTCAGACCATCAATCCGTCATTCAGTTGCTTGATCATGTAGTTTTTCTGTGCCCGAGTCAGCCATTCAATCATTCAGCCGGTCAGCCATTCAATCTTTAATCGGACACCCATGTCAGCAAGCTGCTGTTTGGTGTTCAAATTTTGCTAAGGTTTGACTCCATTGAATTTGGCTTGCGACTCGAAGTGCGAGGAAGCGGTGGCTGTTCTGCGGAGCGCTGCTCCTCGATTGGCAACGCTTGACTTGCTACATGCATGCAAGTGCCATTGAATTTGGTCTAGCCGCAAGATGTAGGTCCAATCTCGTTTTTTAGTTCAGGATGGTTTCGTCTTTTCGAGTTTTACTTTTCAGATTTTCGTGTAGGGGTCAGAGGGCATGTCAGGTATTGTCAGGCATGCCAATGTGATCCAATGTGGAAACAAGACAACTTCACAGGAGAAATTGGAGCAAAGTGGGAAAACCGCGTTAAGTTCTTCCGTAGAGACTTTGGTGTTCCATTTTGTTTTTGAGATTCAGCGAGCTGTGCACTTGTATTCCAAGTGGCTGCTGCACCAAGGAGGGCTCACCAAAAGTTTCAGAAGGGTTGACAGAAGATCACATCGGGACAGAGGCGGTGACGTGTTTTGTTGTTTAAAAAGTTGCCGGCTTCTGGATCGACGAAATCAACAAATTGATGATTCGTTTGTTTGAACATGTTTGGATTCACCCACTACAAGCTCATTTACCTGCGAATATCTTGGGTATCTTTGCATATCTTGAATTTCGGCCAAGTTTGTTTTGATGCTGTTTCGCAAATGCTCTATTCCATCAGGGTTGGCATTTCAAATGTACGTGGAGTCAGTAGCAATAGACCCGTGTCCGAAGGCGCCGCTGGATGTCCTGCACTTCTTGCCGAAGCACATGCCAGCCGTGGCCTCCGATGCAAATGAAATCACCTTCGAGGGAAACATCATGCCTAGCGCAGAGCAATGCTGGACGTCGTTCCCTGGCAAATTCAAGGCTGGATGGGATGCGCTGGTGAACGTGCCAGCTTTTGGCGACAGTGTTGCATGCGTTTTCTTGTGCGATTCCCAGTCTGGCCTTGGGGAGCACAAGAAAGATCCAAAAGGTGATGGCAAAAAATGCTATTGCTACCGGATTTATGGAGAGCGAGCAGATGCAGAGTACAAGAAGTTTGGATACATCATCTATGTACAGAAGAAGTATTCAGAATGCAGTGATCTGGAGAGAAGCAAGCTGGAGCAGAAGGCCAACGCCATGGATGCAGAGCTTGTTTTTGAAGATGATGACAGCAGCACGAGGGACACAAAGGAGAAGCGGGCCAAGGAAAAGTTTGCCCAAAAGAAGACCGCAGCATTTGGCTGCAGTTGGTACGATTTGTGGTTCCAACGTGTGAGAGAAGCAGTACAACGAGGCCAACGGCTGAAGGTCGTGTTCTTTCCTGGTGAAGTGATGCAAGGCAAAGTTGATATGGATGCACTGGCCACAGCTGACCTCTGGAATGGTGTTGGGCTTGGAACGTCCCAGAAATGCGAGGTTGCCACACTTGAGGCACAGGTTGAAAAAGTCTTAAAGCGGTAGTCTTTCTTGATGGATTTTATTGCCCTGGACATCCCTGGCCTCAGCAGTTTGATGTTTCAAGAGTTTCAAGGCACCAATCCTTGACAGTGGATATTGTGGTGCTGTACCCTCCGACAAGATTTGACATGATTTCACCAGTAGACCCTGCAGAATCAGTCTCCGACACAGAAGGTATATAGTTAGTTAAGTTAGTTATAGAATAGCCACCCGCAGTTTGCAACACTTTCTTTTTGGGGATGGAAACCTCATGAAAAAACAACGCCGTGTGCCAACATTTGAACTTGCTCGTAGTCAGAGTCTTTTTGGAGGTTGCTGAAACCAAACTTGGACATATTGCTGCCTTTTTTCTTGGAATATATCTTGGAATCGATACACCTGAAAAGCGTAGCGGTGAATTGTGGACAATTCAGCCGACTTTACTATTTGCTTTGAGGTAGCCGTGCTTTTTGTAAAATAACTCGAGGCTCTGGGTCAAGGCTTGACATTGCTGGTATGTATTCTTGAGGTATCAATTTGGTAGCAAAACAATGCAAGATATATTTCATCATATTTCTCTTGATAGCGTGGAATGTTGGACATGACACATGGTGTATCAGTTTAGCCGATTAACCCATCTTCCCCGAGCGCCCACAAGGTAGGGAACACCATTTTAGCGCATCTGGGTTCCACGCTCTCATTTTTTCATGTTGATTTCGACCGGGAAGAGGGATGAACCACGTGGTCTTCATTTTCTAAACGTGATGTTTGTGAATAATGCCGCTAAAAGGGTTCCTCACGGCAAAAGTTTGTAGCCTTTCTGAACTTCTGAACTCAATAATTACGATTTGTGTCAGAGGTGTGTTGGGTGATTTGCCCTGAAGAGGCTGTGATTCTGTAGGCAGCCCAACTGGTACCTTCCTTTCAAACTTTGTTATTTACTACAGGGACCCCAAGGTATTTCGCATCTTCCACAGCCTGCAGGCAATGAGGAAGGAAACTGGCGATCCCAAGTGGGACTACGATCCAGTAGATGTGACCGATTTCCTCATTTCACAATTCAAGGAAGGTGATTTGGTGGAAGCGTTGGACGCGGACAGCCGGCGTTGGCGCATAGGCCGCATCCTGAAGGTTCCGCAAAGCGGGATGACGAAGGATGACAGGCCGGTGTTGAACTCATAGATTTTTGGACCCCAAAGTCTTGCAGTGTAGAAACCAATGTCACGGAACGGAGTTTTTCGAAGTTGGGATTCGACTTGTTGGTTACCAAGTTGATCTTTGAAATGTTTTTCAATCTTGTGGTAAATTGTCGTCCAATTTTGGCAGGCACACCGTGCGACACACCTGGAACATCATCTGCAACTGGTCCGGGACAGAGTTCCAGTCAGAGCATCTGAGGCCTTTGGTGCAACATACCAACGGCTTTGAGACCATACTGCAAGGGTTCCAGGATAAGAAGATGCTGCGGTCTCTGGAGGAATTCTTCAGTGTTCAGGTGAAGCAGGTGCAGCGATCTTGGTCCGATGGGAGGCATTCCATAGCAGTGAAATTGAAGATCAGCACCCTTAGGCAAGCCCACAGCTTAAGGGACAAGGTCCTGAGCGGAGATTTGGATCTAAAGATCAATGATATTTTGTCCATACAGTGGCAAGTAGGAATTGATAAGAGCGCTTTCTTGACCTTCTATGAGAGATCCCTTCTGTCATTGACGGATCTGACAAAGCACCAGAACGAAGTTCTCCAAGAGCTCAGAGATGCAGGTACTCGTGAGCAAGGTGTCATTCACCTGTCTGCAGCGGCTGGTGCGGGGAAGACCTTCATAGCGGTGAAGTGGGTCTTAGACCATCTCAGAATGTCCTCGGGAAAGGTGCTGTACATTGCACCCAACAAGGCCCTCGTGTTGCATTTCATTCGGTGGCTATTGGCCTTTGCACATGCAGACAGGGACTCATCATCAAGATACTTCTCAAGACTCCTGGTATTGTATGAGCCCTACGATCAAGTACGAGTGCCTGTCATCAATGGCAACCAGATCCTTTTCGAGTCAGCCACAGTTGAGCTGGAACCATGTCAAGTCAAAGTACTTGACGAAGCGCATTGCATTTTTTGCGCGGACACGGACTCACTGATCCAAGACCGCTTGAAAAGCTACAGTGCGAGAAGCACAGTGCTGCTGTCTGACCTGTCCCAAGGTTCGAGTACCACATTTTCAGTTGATCGACACTATCCCATCAGGCGTTCAGTCAAACTCATAGAAGTCGTTCGAAGCACGCAGCGCATTGTTGCAGGAGCATTGAATTTTCGACTCGGCGAATCACGTAATGAGAATGTTGACAGCTTGGGGACACATGGGCCACCGATCAAAACCTTTTTATTTGAAGCCCAGGCAGAACAAGACAAGATGGAAGAGTATGCCAAGCATACAATTGCAGCCATCAACTATGTTATTTACCACTTTCCAAGCATAAACCTGAACAATAGAATTGCTTTGCTAGTGAAGGACAATGATTTCCTCGGATCCTTGAGTGGAAAACTCCGACGCCACCTTCAGAACAAGTTTGCCAAGCGATATTGCTTGGTGTCGTATGAGACATCCCTCAATTTATTACCTAGCCACTTGAGCACTGGAGCATCTGCACAAGGTGTGCAACAAGAGCAACAGATCATTTTGGACACTGTCAAGAATGCCAAAGGTTTGGAAAACCTCATCGTGATCTCAATTGGGCTTGATGCCCCCATTCAGGGTGCTTACGAAGATGGCGCTACAAGATCCTTACTATACCAAGGCATCACAAGAGCACAGCTGGCTTCAATGATCGTAAATGAGTTTATGCCAGATGGCTGGCTGGCTTTCCTGGGCTGTTTGAGGCTCAGCAAGGACACCTTCGATAAAAAGGCAGCCTTTGCTGAGACTGACAAAGGAGCAGCTGCTGCCATGCTCAAGGTGAAAGACAGTCGACGAGAGGTGCTTTGGACTTAATCATCGGGAACTGCTGAGACTCAGCGGGACTCCCCAACAAGATCCAACAAGATTAATTGAAAAGCATCACAACCATAACATCAATATACTGAACGACTGTCGCAGCAGAGACAAGAGCATCCCCGGGCAGTTTGTGATCCTTGATGTGACCATACGGATCCATACAGTCTTTCACATGGGTTGAAGTTTCAAAACCGCTTGGCTTCAAACAAGACCAGATATAGATTATTTAATTATTTGACCATATTTGACCATGCCAATTGCAAAAGATTCGTTAAGACAGGGCACGGTGGTTTCTGGCATGATGGCTCACTGGCAAATGTCATCCACTCCAGTCCCGCAAAGCTTGCAAGGTTGCCGAGGCCGCCAAGACTTTAGAAGAGGCCTGTTGTCCGCTCTTCTCCCTAGGATGTTCCATTTCAACTGTTAGTCTTGTGGTAGCAAAAAATCTGGTGTCCTTAAGGATGCCTTCGATTATTTGGCAAGATCCATAAAATGATCTACTTAAAAACCTAGAGCGGTGGGTGAGCTCCACAGAGCAATCAAACCAGATAGAGTAACTTGCCAATGGCATTGCGCAATGCACAACAGGGCTGCCACAATCACTGCATTTGAGAAGGCGTTGGCAACACCTTTTTCCTAGTTTGAGCGCATCTAGTTCTGCTCAGAGTTGCTGGATTTTGAATATCGAATTTGCCAAACAGCTGTGAAGGCCCCCGTTTTGCTAGACCTTGCAGCAAACTCCAACTGTTTCATCTCTTTCACTACAACTGGTATCGCAAAGTAATACATCACATGATTCATGATTCATCATGCGTAGGCTCTGGGGGCAAATCCTTAACAGATTCAGCTTCTCAGTCGCTTATATGATATAAATTAACCGACAAGATGAAGTGTTGATTTTGCTTTGCAATAGCAGTTCCTTGATTGAAGATCCTGGCTAAAGTGGCACAATGTCTGTTTGAACCTTGTGATTCAACAGTTTGCATTCCCGTGAGTGAAATTCGTTCTCCAGTGGTCGGAGTAGCTGGGCGAAAATCAACAAGTAGCACGTTGGCTCCTCCCTCCCCATCCACCTTTCGACAGGAACCTGCAGCAAACATCTCTGTGGCCCTGACCTTGGAAGATTAGAGTGGGTTGGTCCGAAAATTGGGGATGTGAGATGCCAAATTTTCTTTTGTAATGAGAAAATGCTGATCAATCATGGGATTTGGGATGCCTTTTTTCGCGGACCTGCCTAACAGTTGTGAGTTCCACAGCTGCGTGTCGCGATCTTGTCATTGCGGCTCAGGAACCAGAAATAGCCACGCAGGCGAGGGGAGCACGCTTTATTGAGCTGTAGCTTGTGCTTGTTTTTTTTGGAAAATCTCAACTGTCAACGAGTAAAAACGTCAAGTGAATTTCTGGTTTTGTCCTCATCAGGTCACATGTTGTACCGTGCAGCGCCGTATTATGCCATGAGAGTCATGTCCAGAGCCAGCTTGAATCGTTTTGATCTATGTTTGGGTATGATTTGGTTCTTGAACAATGCTGCTCATGGGGGGATTGATGCAGGAGCCCGCAGTGGTTAAAGTGCTCCCAACTTCTGTGTGGGACACGGACGACAACACGATCAAAGCCAAGATCACGACACTGAAATTTGGTCCACGGTTCACTCAGGACGCGTCGCAGCGTCATCAGCATCATGCATTGCAATAGCAGACGAAATCTTTATAAATCTTCAAAGTGTGCGTTACTTTGCCTTAAGTCTATGATAGGTCATTGCTTTAAAGTTCCCTGAAGTTTTTCTTGGCAACATCCATAAGTGTGTAAACCATGTCGAGAGCTGTGACACCAGGAAGATTCGGAAGATCCAGAACAAGTCGAAGCCGACGAAGCGGCAGCGGCGAAATGTCTGGGCCTCAGTCCTTACTGCCTAAAGATAGAACTTGATGCTACCTTAGCATGTCTAGGTTTTGCAATTTTTGCCTGACACTTCATTGAAAAGTGAGCAATGTACTTGTTTGTATCCGTCACGGCATCAGAGCAGGGTGGTTGTCAAGTGCATCTCCCCATCTCCTCCCCTTGCAGGATGAAATCACAAAAAAATATCTGGAAGACTTTGCAGCACATTCGCTAGCCTGCGCAAAAGCTGAGGTGCGGATACATGCTTGTATGCTCGTAAACCATGATCTAATCTAGTGTTCATGTGGAAGGTTCAGCAGGAGTTCATGGGATTCCAGAGATGTCATCAGTGAATATGGGACAAAGCGGCAACCATGGTACAGTAGATGGAAAGATCCGGCATGTTGCATACATGGACATGATGGACATGACATAGTAGCTGGCCAGTGTTGATTCAGTGATTTCATCCAGTTGGTGTATTTCATCCCTGCAGGGACAGGTTCGGGCCGTGCTTGACGACCTCAAAAAGGAGGCCGAATGAATTGGATCAAAGGACTGACAGCTGAACATATTCTTTGCCATCCTGGCCCCTTCCTTTGGTCCTTTAGGTCTTGCTATGGCGGCTATGGGTCAGGTTTCTAGACCATGCTACCGCTAGGATGCGAGTCCTGTCCACAACACATATTCAACATGAATGCAATTGAATGCATCAAGAAGCAATCGGATCTATGCAAAACCGATGGTGTCCTGTTCGTATCTATACTTGGGATGCCAAGAAACTTCGACAGGGATCTTGGATATGTAGTATGACTTCCACGTTTTCGCTTCAGTTGGAATTCAGAAGTAGACGGTGCTGCAAATTTGTTCCTAAAGATGGGGTTTGGGGTCATTGTCTCTTGGGCCCGTTGCGTGTCCATTTTATCCAAATTAAATATTGAGCTTCTTAATTGTGGCTTGGGTCTAGTCTATCTTTCCTTTTTATTGGCCACAGATACGGACTTGTAGAGGGTGGGGCTGGCAGGTGGGCCCTTTTCAGAGGTGGTTTAATCAGTCGAAAGTCTTTTTATCATCCTATAACATGCGCTTGCTGTGAACATTTGTGAACCAGTCTTCGTGAATGCGATTTCGAACAAGGTGGCAACGTCATCCTCTATGAGCGCGGCACTTGCGGATTCTTCTTTCCGACAAGACAATCAATGATTTGAGGCAAAGTACATGATTTACCTCCCACGGACATGGAATGTTCTCAGGATTTTTGGGAGCTCTGCCATGCTCATGCCAAGGCCAAGACGCCACAGCTGAGGACAATGCTGTTGAGAAGAAGAACAGGTTGGGCCGCAGGCTCAAAGTTGAGATGAGGTCGAATAGCAAAGAAGCGAACAGCCGGATGGCCGGCAGAGTTGGTTGACGTCGATAGTGAGATATGCATGGATTTTGACTTCTCCTTTTTTGCCAAGTTCAACCCTTATTAACCCTTGCTACTTGTTGTATACGTGTTTTTTCGTGCAGCGGTGCATCTTATAGTTTTATAGTGAAATCGAAAATTCATGTGATATATACTTGGCTGGTAATATTATGCCACACTTTTATCGTTCCATTGCAACTGCACCAGTGTGCACATGCAACTTGCATGAACGTTCTTCGCCCAGGCCGGACAGAGCTCCACAATGCTGTCTGCAAGGGCGACGAAAAGCGCGTCCAGCAGCTCCTGCAAAACCGCGCGTCTGTTGATGCCAAGGATGAAAGCGGCCCGAACCTTTGGAGCGTATGCGTACATAGAGTTGCAAGCTGTTGTTTGTTGCAACTTCAAATTTAGAGTTTAGACAATCCATGACACTGCCGAGAGGTTTGAAAGAGTGGAATGCAGTGAAATCATGGACGTGGAATGGAAATCAGTTTATCACCATTTCGTGTCAAGTCCAACCCGAGGCCGGACACCATTGCACTTGGCCGCCAGTGAGGTCTCCGGACCAACCAAAATCATCAAGCTGCTGCTCGAGGCGAGGGCCATGACTGAGGCCAAAGACCTGGGCGGCCGGGAGCCTCAGAGCTCTTCACATGAAGCATATGTCTTTGGTGAGTTTTTCAATGCCTTTAGCTCTGACATGGACTTGATGTTCCATCTTAAAGGCCATATCTTTGATTGATCAAGTCGCACACTGCAAGGTGGTATACATAACAGACAGTAGTGATCAGAAGTGTCTGCCCGCTCCTGCGTCTCCAAAATCATGACGAGGTATAGGAAAATGAAGTGCCTGTAGGAAAGGTTTCAGACTGGCATGTGTGTGTGTGTTCTTGTGTCTGAGTGGTTTAATGACTGGATGGCAAAATGAATGGCTGGCTTGGCCACTTAAGGCTCGCATGGTTGAGTGACTGAATGACTGAATGACTGAATGATAGACTAAGTGTTCCTCTTTGAGCTAGCTCTTTTCTGAACTATCTCTGTCCTCAACCATCCTTTCCTTGAACAATCCTTCTCACCAACTATTGACTGAGTGAAGAACTGAGTGAAGGACTGAGCGAGCCTCTTCTCTGAGCCAATTTTCTCTGAGCCGCATCTTCAAGGATCCAGCTCTCGGCTGCCTCGTCTCGGAGCTGCTTCTTCTCTGAGCCAACTGTTCTTTGAGCCACTCATAGCCACTCCACTTCCGTAATCTGAGCTACTGCCTCCCTAGCTATTTTTGTTGAGCTGTCTTTCCTAAGCTATTTCTTGCCTGGCTTAACGCTCCTCTGAGCTACTTCTCTCTAGAAAAGCTGTCAGCTTTAACATGGCGTTTAGCATGCAGCCATTAAATTCAGCTAAAAGTAGGGCGCAGGCAGCAGTTCCCAAGGCGCTTTGCAACCCTAAAATGCATTCCACATTTGCTGGCCTGCAGAGTTGCTGAACAAAGTCTAGCGGGTGTGTGAAGCATGCACTACGAACTTGCGACGTGGCTCAGAGAAGATGGGGCTCAGCAGAGTTGGTAAAGAGAAGTTATATATATATATAAGGTAGAGACACCTCAAAGATTGAGGTGCTCAGACCATCAATCCGTCATTCAGTTGCTTGATCATGCAGTTTTTCTGTGCCCGCGTCAGCCATTCAAGCATGAAGCCATATTCAGCCGGAGAGCCATTCAATCTTTAATCGGACACCCATGTCAGCAAGCAGCCCTTCATAGATCCTTTCCTCTAGCCGCCCGATATTTTCAAGACTTCTTTCTGTTTGCGGCGGGGGACTACGGCATACGTGGCATAAAAGTCAATCCCCCCATGGATTCTTCAAAGTTTCGTGCTGGTCCAAACTAAGGCCGGACACCACTGCACCTGGCCGCCAGTGAGGTCTCCGGATCAGCCAAAATCGTAGAGCTGCTGGAGGCTAGGGCTATGACTGAGGCGAAGGACCTCGGCGGCTGGGAGCCCCAGATCTCTTTCACATGGATGTGTTATGAGATGATATGAGGGTGTATGAAGTGCGCGAGTATACTCAGTCTGAATGGTTTCAATTTCAATAGGTAGTGATCATCGCAGGATAGAACACCTTTGCAAATTGGGGTTGAAAACGATGGAAGGTTTCTATCAACTTGTCAGGTTCTGTTGGTGTCAAAATTTGCTCAGGTTTCACTCCATTGAATTTGGCTTGCGACTTGAAGTACGAGGAAGCAGTGGCTGTTCTGCGGGGCGCTGCTCCTCGATTGGCAACGCTTGACTTGCTACATGCATGCAAGTGCCATTGAATTTGGTCTGGCCGCAAGATGTAGGTCCAATCTCGTTTTTTAGTTCAGGATTGTTTCGTCTTTTCGAGTTTTGCTTTTCAGATTTTCGTGTAGTAGGGGTCAGAGGGCATGTCAGGTATTGTCAGGTATGCCAATGTGATCCAGTGTGGAAACAAGACAACTTCACAGGAGAAATTGGAGGAAAGAGGGAAAACCGCGTTAAGTTCTTCCGTAGAGACTTTGGTGTTCCATTTTATTTTTGAGATTCAGCGAGCTGTGCACTTGTATTCCAAGTGGCTGCTGCACCAAGGAGGGCTCACCAAAAGTTTCAGAAGGTTTGACAGAGGCGGTGACGTGTTTTGTTGTTTAAAAAGTTGCCAGCTTCTGGATCGACGAAATCAACAAATTGATGATTCGTTTGTTTGAACATGTTTGGATTCGCCCACTACAAGCTCATTTACCTGCGAATATTTTGGGTATCTTTGCATCTTCAATTTCGGCCAAGTTTGTTTTGATGCTGTTTCGCAAATGCTCTATTCCATCAGGGTTGGCAAATCCAAACGTACATGGAGTCAGTAGCAATAGGCCCGTGTCCGAAGGCGCCGCTGGATGTCCTGCACTTCTTGCCGAAGCACATGCCAGCCGTGGCCTCCGATGCAAATGAAATCACCTTCGCGGGAATCATCAAGCCTAGCGCAGAGCAATGCTGGACGTCGTTCCCTGGCAAATTCAAGGCTGGATGGGATGCGCTGGTGAACGTGCCAGCTTTTGGCGACAGTGTTGCATGCGTTTTCTTGTGCGATTCCCAGTCTGGCCTTGGGGAGCACAAGAAAGATCCAAAAGGTGATGGCAAAAAATGCTATTGCTACCGGATTTATGGAGAGCGAGCAGATGCAGAGTACAAGAAGTTTGGATATATCATCTATGTACAGAAGAAGTATTCAGAATGCAGTGATCTGGAGAGAAGCAAGCTGGAGCAGAAGGCCAACGCCATGGATGCAGAGCTTGTTTTTGAAGATGATGACAGCAGCACGAGGGACACAAAGGAGAAGCGGGCCAAGGAAAAGTTTGCCCAAAAGAAGACCGCAGCATTTGGCTGCAGTTGGTACGATTTGTGGTTCCAACGTGTGAGAGAAGCAGTACAACGAGGCCAACGGCTAAAAGTCGTGTTCTTTCCTGGTGAAGTGATGAAAGGCAAAGTTGATATGGATGCACTGGCCACAGCTGACCTCTGGGATGGTGTTGGGCTTGGAACGTCCCAGAAATGCGAGGTTGCCACACTTGAGGCACAGGTTGAAAAAGTCTTAAAGCGTTAGTCTTTCTTGATTGATTTTATTGCCCTGGACATCCCTGGCCTCAGCAGTTTGATGTTTCAAGAGTTTCAAGGCACCAATCCTTGACAGTGGATATTGTGGTGCTGTTCTGTACCCTCCGACAAGATTTGACATGATTTCACCAGTAGACCCTGCAGGATCAGTTCTCCAGGGTCTCCGACACAGAAGGTATATAGTTTCTTAAGTTAGTTATAGAATAGCCACCCGCAGTTTGCTACACTTTCTTTTTGGAGATGGAAACCTCATGAAAAAACAACGCCGTGTGCCAACATTTGAACTTGCTCGTAGTCAGAGTCTTTTTGGTGGTTGCTGAAACCAAACTTGGACATAGTGCTGCCTTTTTTCTTGGAATATCTTGGAATCCATACACCTGAAAAACGTAGCGGTGAATTGTGGACAATTCAGCCGACTTTACTATTTGCTTTGAGGTAACCGTGCTTTTTGTAAAATAACTCGAGGCTCTGGGTCAAGGCTTGACATTGCTGGTATGTATTCTTCAGGTATCAATTTGGTAGCAAAACAATGCAAGATATATTTCATCATATTTCTCTTGATAGCGTGGAATGTTGGACATGACACATGGTGTATCAGTTTAGCCGATTAACCCATCTTCCCCGAGCGCCCACAAGGTAGGGAACACCATTTTAGCGCATCTGGGGCTCCACTCTCTCATTTTTTTCATGTTGATTTCGACCGGGAAGAGGGATGAACTACGTGGTCTTCAGTTTCTAAACGTGATGTTTGTGAATAATGCCGCTAAAAGGGTTCCTCACGGCAAAAGTTTGTAGCCTTTCTGAACTTCTGAACTCATTATTTACGATTTGTGTCAGAGGTGTGTTGGGTGATTTGCCCTGAAGAGGCTGTGATTCTGTAGGCAGCCCAACCGGTACCTTCCTTTCAAACTTTGTTATTTACTACAGGGACCCCAAGGTATTTCGCATCTTCCACAGCCTGCAGGCAATGAGGAAGGAAACTGGCGATCCCAAGTGGGACTACGATCCAGTAGATGTGACCGATTTCCTCATTTCACAATTCAAGGAAGGTGATTTGGTGGAAGCGTTGGACGCGGACAGCCGGCGTTGGCGCATAGGCCGCATCCTGAAGGTTCCGCAAAGCGGGATGACGAAGGATGACAGGCCGGTGTTGAACTCATAGATTTTTGGACCCCAAAGTCTTGCAGTGTAGAAACCAATGTCACGGAACGGAGTTTTTCGAAGTTGGGATTCGACTTGTTGGTTACCAAGTTGATCTTTGAAATGTTTTTCAATCTTGTGGTAAATTGTCGTCCAATTTTGGCAGGCACACCGTGCGACACACCTGGAACATCATCTGCAACTGGTCCGGGACAGAGTTCCAGTCAGAGCATCTGAGGCCTTTGGTGCAACATACCAACGGCTTTGAGACCATACTGCAAGGGTTCCAGGATAAGAAGATGCTGCGGTCTCTGGAGGAATTCTTCAGTGTTCAGGTGAAGCAGGTGCAGCGATCTTGGTCCGATGGGAGGCATTCCATAGCAGTGAAATTGAAGATCAGCACCCTTAGGCAAGCCCACAGCTTAAGGGACAAGGTCCTGAGCGGAGATTTGGATCTAAAGATCAATGATATTTTGTCCATACAGTGGCAAGTAGGAATTGATAAGAGCGCTTTTTTGACCTTCTATGAGAGATCCCTCCTGTCATTGACGGTTCTGACAAAGCACCAGAACGAAGTCCTCCAAGAGCTCAGAGATGCAGGTACTCATGAGCAAGGTGTCATTCACCTGTCTGCAGCGGCTGGTGCCGGGAAGACCTTCATAGCGGTGAAGTGGGTCTTAGACCATCTCAGAATGTCCTCGGGAAAGGTGCTGTACATTGCACCCAACAAGGCCCTCGTGTTGCATTTCATTCGGTGGCTATTGGCCTTTGCACATGCAGACAGGGACTCATCATCAAGATACTTCTCAAGACTCCTGGTATTGTATGAGCCCTACGATCAAGTACGAGTGCCTGTCATCAATGGCAACCAGATCCTTTTCGAGTCAGCCACAGTTGAGCTGAAACCATGTCAAGTCAAAGTACTTGACGAAGCGCATTGCATTTTTTGCGCGGACACGGACTCACTGATCCAAGACCGCTTGAAAAGCTACAGTGCGAGAAGCACAGTGCTGCTATCTGACCTGTCCCAAGGTTCGACCGCCACATTTTCAGTTGATCGACACTATCCCAACAGGCGTTCAGTCAAACTCATAGAAGTCGTTCGAAGCACGCAGCGCATTGTTGCAGGAGCATTGAATTTTCGACTTGGCGAATCACGTAATGAAAATGTTGACAGCTTGGGGACACATGGGCCACCGATCAAAACCTTTTTATTTGAAGTCCAGGCAGAACAAGACAAGATGGAAGAGTATGCCAAGCATACTATTGCAGCCATCAACTATGTTTTTTACCACTTTCCAAGCATAAACCTGAACAATAGAATTGCTCTGCTAGTGAAGGACAATGATTTCCTCGGATCCTTGAGTGGAAAACTCCGACGCCACCTTCAGCACAAGTTTGCCGAGCGATATTGCTTGGTGTCGTATGAGACATCCCTGAATTTATTACCTAGCCACTTGAGCATTGGAGCATCTGCACAAGGTGTGCGACAAGAGCAACAGATCATTTTGGACACTGTCAAGAATGCCAAAGGTTTGGAAAACCTCATCGTGATCTCAATTGGGCTTGATGCCCCCATTCAGGGTGGTTACGAAGATGGCGCCTACAAGATCCCTACTATACCAAGGCATCACAAGAGCACAGCTGGCTTCAATGATCGTAAATGAGTTTATGCCAGATGGCTGGCTGGCTTTCCTGGGCTGTTTGAGGCTCAGCAAGGACACTTTCGACAAAAAGGCCGCCTTTGCTGAGACTGACAAAGGAGCAGCTGCTGCCATGCTCAAGGTGAAAGACAGTCGACGGGAGGTGCTTTGGACTTAATCATCGGGAACTGCTGAGACTCAGCGGGACTCCCCAACAAGATCCAACAAGATTAGTTGAAAAGCATCACAACCATAACATCAATCTACTGAACGACTGTCGCAGCAGAGACAAGAGCATCCCCGGGCAGTTTGTGATCCTTGATGTGACCATACGGTCTTTCACATGGGTTGAAGTTTCAAAACCGCTTGGCTTCAAACAAGACCAGATATAGATTATTTGACCATATTTGACCATGCCAATTGCAAAAGATTCGTTAAGACAGGGCACGGTGGTTTCTGGCATGATGGTTCACTGGCAAATGTCATCCACTCCAGTCGCAAAGCTTGCAAGGTTGCCGAGGCCGCCAAGACCTTAGAAGAGGCCTGTTGTCCGCTCTTCTAGGATGTTCCATTTCAACTGTTAGTCTTGTGGTCGCAAAAAATCTGGTGTCCTTAAGGATGCCTTTTCGATTGTTTGGCAAGATCCATAAAATTATCTACTTAAACACCTAGAGCGGTGGGTGAGCTCCACAGAGCAATCAAACCAGATAAAGTAACTTGCCAATGGCATTGCACAATGCACAACAGTGCTGCCACAATCACTGCATTTGAGAAGGCGTTGGCAACACCTTCTTCCTAGTTTGAGCGCATCTAGTTCTGCTCAGAGTTGCTGGATTTTGAATATCGAATTTGCCAAACAGCTGTGAAGGCCCCCGTTTTGCTAGACCTTGCAGCAAACTCCAACTGTTTCATCTTTTTCACTACAACGGGTATCGCAAAGTAATACATCACATGATTCATGATTCATCATGCGTAGGCTCTGGGGGCAAATCTTTAACAGATTCAGCTTCTCAGTCGCTTATATGATATAAATTAACCGACAAGATGAAGTGTTGATTTTGCTTTGCAATAGCAGTTCCTTGATTGAAGATCCCGGCTAAAGTGGCACAATGCTTATTATCTGTTTGAACCTTGTGATTCAACAGTTTGCATTCCCGTGAGTGAAATGCGTTCTCCAGTGGTCGGAGTAGCTGGGCGAAAATCAACAAGTAGCACGTCGGCTCCTGCCTCCCCATCCACCTTTCGACAGGAACCTGCAGCAAACATCTCTGTGGCCCTGACCTTGGAAGATTAGAGTGGGTTGGTCCGAAAATTGGGGATGTGAGATGCCAAATTTTCTTTTGTAATGAGAAAATGCTGATCAATCATGGGATTTGGGATGCCTTTTTTCGCGGACCTGCCTAACAGTTGTGAGTTCCACAGCTGCGTGTCGCGATCTTGTCATTGCGGCTCAGGAACCAGAAATAGCCACGCAGGCGAGGGGAGCACGCTTTATTGAGCTGTAGCTTGTGCTTGTTTTTTTTTGGAAAATCTCAACTGTCAACGAGTAAAAACGTCAAGTGAATTTCTGGTTTTGTCCTCATCAGGTCACATGTTGTACCGTGCAGCGCCGTATTATGCCATGAGAGTCATGTCCAGAGCCAGCTTGAATCGTTTTGATCTATGTTTTGGTATGATTTGGTTCTTGAACAATGCTGCTCATGGGGGGATTGATGCAGGAGCCCGCAGTGGTTAAAGTGCTCCCAACTTCTGTGTGGGACACGGACGACAACACGATCAAAGCCAAGATCACGACACTGAAATTTGATCCACGGTTCACTCAGGACGCGTCGCAGTGTCATCAGCATCATGCATTGCAATAGCAGACGAAATCTTTATAAATCTTCAAAGTGTGCGTTACTTTGCCTTAAGTCTATGATAGGTCATTGCTTTAAAGTTCCCTGAAGTTTTTCATGGCAACATCCATAAGTGCGTAAACCATGTCGAGAGCTGTGACACCAGGAAGATTCGGAAGATCCAGAACAAGTCGAAGCCGACGAAGCGGCAGCGGCGAAATGTCTGGGCCTTAGTCCTTACTGACTAAAGATAGAACTTGATGCTACCTCAGGCAGAAGATCTAGAAGTAAATTTGAAGTTGCACTTCAAGTACCATGACATTGAACATCAGGAACTTCAAAGTTCAATAAGTTCAGGTTTCTAACTGATTCAATCGAATTTCAATAGTAGCAGACTTACCAGACTTGGACTACAGTAAACAGATGTAATCAGAAAGATCAAAGGAAAAAAAGGAAAAAAAAGGAAAAAAAAACATCGTCATTTCGGTTTCATTCCTCCGCGCGCCGAGACGACGACATCGCCGACGCGGCGCTCAACGGCGACCTCCCGGCCGTCCGGGGCCACCTGCGCCGCGACGGCGGCAGCCTGGACCGACTCTTCGGTGAGGACGGCGTGGCAGCGCTGCACCGCGCAGCCATCCGCGGCCACCGGGCGGTCGTGGAGTTCCTCGTGGCGAAGGGCGCCGCCGTGGACGTCCTGACCGGCGACGGCCTCGGCCGCGGGGAGCTCAGCGATCGCCGGTCACGGCGCCGCCGGGCGCCACTCCGCCGGTGCTGAGGTGCCACTCCGCTGCATCTTGCAGCAGTGAACGGCCACGTGGAGTGCGCCCAGCAGCTGCTGGCAGCGAAGGCCTCAGTGGAAATCAAAGACATCACCGGCTGGGGGCCTCAGCCGATGTCCCGTTTTTGAAGACCCTTTTTTTTCACCGGCAATTACAATAATTAACAGATTAATTAACAATCAATAACAAACATAACAGATATATATTATATAACAGATATAACAGGTGCAGTTCAACGAATGTGGCATGTCTCAATGACTTATGACACATCTTTGAAGTTTTTAATTTTGTTTTCAACTCCAGCATGCGATTTCACTGGATTTATCATCTCAGGTTCCCATCTTCAAAGTTGCCTTGAAATTCAAGAGCCGTGATTTTGGGGCGTGCGTCTGTTGAAAAAAATCAGGGTTTAGAGATGTTTAGAGTTCATCCATGTCTTTGACATCCGTGTGAGCCAAATGAGAAGAATGAAACAGCGCTTTCCACACATGGTTTCCACACGTCAAATTCGGCAGTCCGCGCGGCGATCAAGTGAAATGATATTGGAAAGGGTCACTTCGAATGTCAGCTGTGGATCCCAGGCAGAACACCCTTGGATCTCGCAAGAAATTGGGGACGCACAGAAGTGGTCAACCTGCTGATGGGCACAGCCTCTTGGCTGCACGGGTGAGGCTCAATGCAGTGACCCAATGGCATAGCAGGTGGGAATATCCATGGGTGAAACATGGTGAAACTGCTGGCATTGGTGGGAATGAAAACACGAAAGGCGTAGGGATAGTGTGAGTCGGT